ACCTTAGCAAACCAACACTAAACCATGTGCACAATGCCACAGCCACACAGCTTTTAAATTCCATCCAGGAATGGCGACTCCACCACTACCACGGGCATGCACATTCAAAACATCATCACCATTCCTACAAAGAAATTACTCCTCATACCTAGACTAATTCCTTCCCTGCTACTACTTTAGACCATTTCTACTCGTTCATTTTCACCTGGCTGAAGAGCCTGACCCCAAAAAATGTTTACACTGCCATTCCTTTCCTGAACTAGACAATCTGGTGATGGCTGTCCAATCATCCATGCCTGCAATGGCCATTCCTTTCCCCGTGATCACCTTTCCTGGCACTGACACTAGAGCTGCCATCACAAGCTCTTTTCAGCCCTGCACTGCCGAGCTGCTCCCCCAGCCCAGGGGCTCCTTGGCCCAGAACATCTGTGATGCTGGATCCATTGGATCCAGACTGATGGCGTGCAAAGTCAGCTCATGGGTTTCTGAGAGCGCACAGAGGGGAACAGAAAAGTCAAGAGGGAGAAAAGGAGGAATGCTGGGTCATTGGGTCACTAAGAAAAATAATTTAGTTGGCATCTGTTAATTGGGTAAATGGACATATAAAAAACCTTGAAAAGAATTTTTGTTAGCCTTTTTCCCCTTTCTATCATAGTGCACATAGCTCCTTGTGCCTTATAATGCTGATAAGGAAAGAATAAACAACTGAGACCGAACAAGAGAAAACTGCCTCCCTCTCGCCAGTCTTCAGTTCAAGGGGAAAAAGAACCTAACCCAAAAGTCCTTAATGAGACAGAGGAAGACCTTTTTTTCAAGTGTGCATGAAATTTTATTTTCTCCCTTTAATTTTTTTAATTCCCCAGACAAGACTTTTGAGGTGAAAGGAGAGGTAAATCTTTCCATTCACCATACAAAGCTGAGCAGGTTTGCAATATTCAGTCAGATCTTCCACATCCCACTCCGGGTATTTATAATATCAATAAAATGAGAGGATGCAAAGAAGCAAACCATTTCATCATTTCTCCTCTTCTCAGCATGAATCACTCTCCCATGTCCATCCCATCCCTCTCTGCCGTGTCCATCCCATCTCTCTCCTGCCCAGCCCGTTGCTGCTGTGCCATGGGTGTCACAAGAGGTTGCATGGGGACAACGGTGACATTGATTGCAACAGCCCCAGGAGGCACCTCAGCCCCTGCCCCTGCAGCAGGGAGGGAGCAGGGCCAGCCCCAGCACCCCCACACACACGGGGCACTCCTGGGTTGGCCCAGGCCACTTGTGCCAGCAGCAACTGGGGCCTGTCCCACCCACCAGCACTGCTATAAATCCAGCCTGTCTGGGGCAAAGCAGCATTCCCTGGCCCCAAAGGCATCTGGACACAGCCATTCCTGGTGGATTTGCTGCTGCCTCAACACCCAGAACTTCTCCAGGCAGGTGAGTGTGGGGTCTCTTTCCAGAATCCTGCCCACACAGGGCCCTGCATGGCCCCATTGCCTTGGTGTCCCCTCTGCAGCCCTGTGAAGACCCAGGAGAGGCAGCAGCCATGAAGATCCTGTTCCTGCTCTTCCCCCTGATCCTCCTGTTGGCCCAGGGTGCTGCAGGTGAGAGGGAAGAGGGGAAATGGGGAAAGTGTAAACCTGCACCAGGGGCAATTCAAAGTCCCTGGAAGTGACCGTGTTTGTGGGGGTGATGAGAAGGTAACAGGGGACTGAGGTGAAAGAGGTTTCTTGAAATGGACACCAATTTGGGCTGGAGAGAGCCCATGGAAACAGAATCCTGGTTTGTTCTGTGGGTTGGGGATGTGGAATGTTGCCTGCCAGCTGTGCTGAGATGGGAATGCAGCTGGGAGTCAGCACGGCTCTTCCTCGACCTCACGTTGGTCCTTTCCACTCTCTGCTCAGGAGTGCCCTCACTTTAGGGCTACAGGGACCTTCCAGGTGAGAAACATTGCAGTTAGAAATTTGACTGGGAGGAGGTTGGAAATGAGCCCTTCTCTTCTCCTGAAATGCACCAGCACCAGGAAGCATCAACCTGTCTGTAGCCACTCTCTGCCCTCTCCGATTATTACTTTAATTGTTCTCTGTGCATCCTTCCCCATGGGAACAGGCAATGAAACTAGCTGCTGGGAACTACACGGCTTCTGCACTAGGAATACTTGCCCCGAGGGTACAAGTTTTGTGGGAAGATGTTCACCGGGTCTTGTGTGCTGCAAAAGGTAAGGAGCAGATCCTTGAGTGAAGAAAGATTTTCTTCCTTTTTTCTCAGAAAGATCTGTTCCAGATTTCTTTGTTGAAAACTCATGATAAATACTCTCCTGAATTGATGCTTTGAGAGAGAGGCCCAAGAAGGGAGGGGAAAGTCCCTGTGGGTTTGATCACCTTCACTGAGGCTGCAGGAACTCCAGGTCAGCCAGGACATCCCCAGTCTCCTCTCGTCCCAGAGAGCTCATGGAGGCTTTGCAGAGGGCTCACCCAAGCCACACAAGAAACATTCCCTGTCCCTGGGCATCACTGAGGACATGATCCAGGTCTTGCTGCACCTGCACAGACCTGGAGCCAGGGCTGCCAGCACTGAGATAGCCCAGGTCCAACCTGTCTGCACCAAGGACTGCACCTCACCTGCCCTGAGCCTGAGGCTGCTGCACCACACCCTGGGCATTGCAGAGGGCAGGGGGAGAGAGGGACGGGGAAAGTTACACCACATGATGTGCTTGTTTCTTTTCTTCCTACAGACTCTGGTTTTGAAACCCTGAAATTCCCAAGCAGGACTTGCCCCTT